TAGCCTCCTAAACCCGAGTTAATCCTGCCTAACGTGCAGAAACGCGAAAAGCAGATGCTTTGAATTTGGTTGTTGCTCATTCTCCTCAATTTCTGTACCTCTTTTTTGTCGTAAAACGGAAATCAAACATTATTTTTGTAATTTCAGTGCTTTCGCTTGGATCCACACCACGAAACCGCGGCCACGATGAACTCCTGCCTGCGATCCCTTATCCTTTGTAAGTTAATGGTTAATTAACTTGGAGCTTGCCCCCCGGCTTGGATTTGATTTGGTTTGGCGCCAAATTGGCTTCGCGTTAACAAAGGCTTAGCTTAGGGTAGATTAGGCTTAGCTTATTTTTAGCTTAAGCGGAGCTTATGCTTAGCGTGGGCTTAGCCTAGGCTTAGCTTGGGTTTAGCTTAGGCTTGGCTTCGGCTTCGGGTTACGCTTGATTTTGCCTAGACTTCTGCATCCCCGTTGATCTTTGACTTATCCAAGATATTTCCACAGGACCTCAACTTTTATCTCATGGCTAAAGTTCCTATGTCGATTTGCCCAATTACGCCATGAAAATGCCGATTAAATCCTGTTTTCCAGTGGTCGCCTGCCTGCTGGCCCTCGCCCTCGCCTCGCCAATCCACAGCATTTGGGCCAATCTGCCCCAGCACGAGGTGAGATTTCGATCTAACCGGCTTACGCTTAAAAGGCCGTTTGCGAGCCACCCGAACTAGGCTTGGCACAGTCTGTTCTTCGACCCCACTTTTTTGACGCCATCGGATAGAGCATGGTCGAATTAGTGGGACTGCATAGTTTTGAAAGTTTAAAAAGTTTAATTTGGGGGTTTAAATGGACGTTGAAGTTGCATGCCCCCAAAAATTATCTTGGAAGTTACTTAACCAAATTTGCTGAAAATTTGTGCCAATACCTAATTTTGGACGGGGATCATTTCTCTAGTACATCGCAAAGCGTGAAAATGGCCGGAACATAGGAATCTCGCGTAAACAAAACAGTTTTTCGAGATTTTCGTTGTGAAGGGTTGCTGGCTGCGCGCTGTAAATAGCATAGAAAGATGCGCAAAAACTTTCTGCATCGAATGGTGTATCATTTAGCGCGCAGACAGTAACCCTTCATCTTGAAAAAAAGGGCTTAAAAGCTACCAAAAAGAAAAAATTCGAATATTTATGAAAACTAAAACATGGACTCGCATCTAGAGAGTCCAACCGCACGATCGCAAAAAAGAGCAAAAAGAAATACGAATTTTGAGAGGGGGCTGGGATTGAACTCGGGTCGTTCGCCTGGGACATGGCGGCGCCCACTAGCGGCTGTCCCCAGTGCCCCCCAGGCGGACCATCGCGGGTTCGATCCCCGCAAATCGCCATTTCCGAGTCGAAAGGGAATTTCTTTTTGCTCTTTTTTGCAATGGATACAGTTTGATCTTTAGACCTATACCCGTTTCCGATTTTTCAAAATATGCAAACCTCGTGAGTACGTACCCGTTTTTCTCCCGTTTAAAAATCGCGTTTTTTGAATATGAAGGGTTACTGTCTGCGCGCTAAATGATACACCATTCGATGCAGAAAGTTTTTGCGCATCTTTCTATGCTATTTACAGCGCGCAGCCAACAACCCTTCACAACGAAAATCCCCAAAAAACCGTTTTATGTACGCGATCTTCCTATGTTCCGGCTATTTTCACGCTTTGCGATGTATTAGAGAAATGATCCCCGTCCAAAATTATGTAATGGCACAAATTTTCAGCGAATTTGGTTAAGTAACTTCCAAGATAATTTTTGGGGGTCTGCAACTTCAACACCCATTTAAACCACAAAAATTAACTTTGCTAACTTTCAAAACTATGCAGCCCCACTAATTCGACCATGCTCTATCCGATGGCGTCAAAAAAACGGGGACGAAAAAAACTGTGCCAAGCCATATTGGGCTCTGTTCGCGTGACCCGCGGACGGCCTTATTAAGCTTGGAGTAGGCTTGCCGAGGTCAGTTAAAAATTTCTAAAATTTGGTAAACAACCTTCAAAAAATTTTAATTAAATTTAGGGATTAAATTGGCCCCTAATATCGGGCAAACTCCGTATTTAATCTGGGAACCATAAAGTTCAAATATTTTCCAACATTTTTCGTACGTAATAACCGTTTCCAGGAAGCGCGATTCCAGACTTGACCGCCGCTGATAATGGGTACTTTGCCCGAGGGGCTGTTGCTTTTTTCTCGCATGCTAATTGTTATTTTGCCGCGATTTTCTGGGTGCGTAATTGCCGGGGTCTACGGAGCGAGTAAAAAATCGCGCGTTTTTTCGTGGAAAATGCAGTTATAGATTTCGTCCGATTCGTGAAAAAAATGAATTGTTTGATGTTTCTACTCGACAGAGAGCGCTTTTTAGCTTTGAGAAAACTGCAGTATAAAGTACCGCAGTCTCACGGGTTTTTTCACCTTTGGTTCTCTGTCTCTCCCTCTCTCTCTCGCTCTCTCTCTCTCTCTCTCCCTCCCTCTCTCTCTCGTTTCCAATTCCAGTCAAAATGGCAGCTTCTTCCAAAACTTATTTCCTCTTTCGTTATACCTTACCCGGAAAAACGATGCCACAAAGGCCCTTTGCCAACAAGAATAAATGCAATTTTACCGGAACTTCCGCTCGCCATAGAGGCGATGGCCCCAAAAAGTAGTGCTGAAGTGGGAATCCAATCAAAATAGCTAGGCTGGTAGTCCGCTCTAGTCTACGGAAGCAGGTGGTCTAAAAGAGGAAGCCCCACGTGGATGCTTGGGTAAAAATCATGGTGAATTTTGTTGTTGGATCGGCTTCATGGGGCTGGGAAAGGAAAAGCGATGTTGTAGAGTCGTTTTTAAAGTTCGGAATTTAAAATAGCAACTTAACTCTCGTCACTTACAAAAATAGGTAAGAAAATCCGAACTCACTCATTTGAGGTATGAGTGTCTTCGGATTTCCTTGCCTTCCCAGCACCTTTAATATGATGCGTAGCCGTGTAATGCCCTCAATCTCAACCGGGAGTAATCATCAAAAACTACACCAAACACCTATTTCCGTTGGTATTTGATGAAATTACATGACCAAGGAGCAGGAAAGAGGCATTTTTCTAAACTCTAACTTTCCAACGTTATGCTTTTAAATCCACCGTGCAACTATTTACGTAAGTGTTTACCCGGATGATGTAATGACAAAAGATTCTCTCTCTTTCTCTCTCTCTCTCTCTCTCTCTCTCTCTCTTCTGTTTCAAATCCGATAGACGTAGAAAATTTCAAACCCCTATTATCCCCGATTTCCAAAACCCAGACACCCGGCTGCGCGCATCATCCTACTCGGACAAATTCTAACAAATTTTCGACCACGTGAAAACGTAAATGTCTGAGCGCGGAAAAGCGTAGGCGGGCGTGAGATAGGAAGGGTTGAATCCCAGCCGATGGGCCCTAATTGAAGAGGTGATGCGGAAATGGATTCAGAAATGAACGGGAATTCATCAGCCCCGCGGTGCAACGGGAATTTTAGTGTGATCGGGATGAATAAGTCTGGTCGGGTGGGGATAGCATAAAGCTAGTAAAAAACACATATGGTGTTAGGTATCTTGATCGAGGGGGAGGGAGAGAGGGACAGATATAGAGAGAGAAAGAGGGAAAGAGCGAGATAGAGAGAGAAAGAGAGAGAGAGAGCGAGAGAGAGAGAGAGAAAGAGAGAAAGAGAGAAAGAGAGAGAGAGAGGACGAGAGAGAGAGAGGACGAGAGAGGAAGAGCGAGAAATGGAAAGAGGGGAAGGAGAGAAAGAAAAAAGGGGAGAAAGAGAGAGAAAGAGAGAGAAAGAGAGAGAGAGATTGTTGTGATTCTACATTCTCAAAATTCTAAAAGCCTAAAAATAAATTATTTTTCCTTCCAAAGTAAACTCATTTCCTACTTACAAATTTCCAGGAGAAGCGCAGCTATTACGGCGCCTTCCAGCACGTGCCCGGATACGCTGAGGACGACCGGGACAAGAAGAACATGATGTGGTTCGACCGCGCCAACCTGGCCAACTATTGAGGAGACACAAATTCAGAAGCTCTTGATCCCCATCGTCGAGCCCACGCCTGAATCCGCCTCCCGATTCTCTTCTGTATCAGAAGCCTATCCGTTTGTCTTGAATTCTTGACCTTCCCCCAATGACTAGTATGCGACATTGTGCCTCTAAAGATAAAGAAGTGTTGTTTGGAGCGAGGTGTAGCCACAATAAAAAGACACAAAAATTCATGAATTGGATATGGTAAATAGGTAAGAAACGGGTATAGCTACAATTTTCATGCCAAGCAAACAGAGCACAATGTCTATGAGCTATAGAAACACCTATCAGAGAGAGAGAGAGAGAGAGAGAGAGAGAGAGAGGGAAAGCGCGAAACAGCGAGAGAAAGTGAGAAGGAGAAAGAACTAACTTTCCACTTAAACTAACCGCGCCTCCTAAAATAACCAGCCCTAGTACGACTGATTTCAAAAACAATAAAAATTGCCGGATTGAAAAATGCATATCGTCGCTTCATTATTCATGCCAGGCATGGTACGGCCAGATGAACGTATTGGCAAATTTCTAAATTTGGACAATTCGTTTAAAACTATCCCGGTGCTGTATTTCAATTTCAAACTCTTATAAAAGCCCGACTCAAGGGGTAGGTAGCTCATCGAAATCTCTCGACCAGCCTCTGAGACCATGCTTCACGGTTTGGCCCTGTTGGCCACGATTTTTGGGCTGTCATCGGCGCTTGAATCTGACACGGACCTTGACAAGGTCCAATACCCAAAGTGTCCACTGGGAGATTCTCGTTGCTATTGGTTGGAGGTGTCGAAGATCGTCACGCCGGAGAACTTTGAGTGGCAAAAGGTAAGGAAGGAAAGAGAGAGCGAGAGAGAGAGTGAGAGAGAGAGAGCTCTCCGCCGCTCTTAAATGCAACAATGACATCGAAATCTATATTTTCCGACCTACGACAACTGGCCGGTGGCCCTCTGGGAGGAGCATGACTGGGACAAAGACGTTATGCGCACCACCTGCAACTTGACGTTTCTATGTAAGTAATTTAAGCGTTTAATTATTGTTCTAGTCCTTATTAAATGTTATCATCAACATTAAATCCCAATTTAAGCGCCCGGCTATCAAAAGGGGTGCGCCCAATTCGACAAGTACTACGCGAAGAAGGGAAAGGATCGGATGTACGTGAAGATCCGGCTGACGCTGGAAAACGGGAAGGTATGTTGCCTTGGTTTAGAGTAAGCTATGTGTTCTGTATCCTCCTGACCCCTTTAATGGCGAAATGAAAAGAAAATGATTATTTTAGTTCAAAACGGTGTGCTTGCGCCCGTTCGGGAAGAGTCGGCTGCAGTATCAAAAAGGTGCAGTTTGTTCTCACTCACAGTCTCTCTTTCTCTCTCTCTCTCTCTATCTCTCTCTCTCTCTCGATTCAGCTCTCTCGGGGAATTTTACATCCTTTCAGTGGTTGGTGACCTGTACTTGATGTCGCACCTGAAGGCCCCGTACTGCAGCTTCGGCTACAAGATCAAGGAGGACAACGGGCCTTGGGAGAAGAAGTGGGAGACTTGCAGCGATGAAGACTGTAAATGGGAGGCTTCGTAACCGTTTCGTATTGGTTGTCAGAATAAATTGTATGAGCACGAACAGTTAGTGAAGAAGCAAGATGGAGAGAGAGTGTGTGAGAGAGAGAGAAAAGCAGAATCCGTCGAAAAAAACAAATCATTCCTTGCTGTATTTCAATTTCCCGGAACTTGAGGCGCCCCGTCAAAAGCATACTTTCGAAAAGGCTCCGAACCATGTTCTGGTACCTGGCCTGGTTGATGTTAAATTTCGGGGCCGTATCATCAGACATCTACGAATATCCCGAGTGCCCAATGCCGTTTCTCCGTTGGCGCTGTCTCTGGTTTGAGGTGACGAAGGTGGTCGTGCCGGAAGATTTTGTGTGGAAACCGGTGAGTTTTTTTTTGGGCTTTTTAAAATCTACCCTCTAACTATGTCGAAAAGCGGCGAGAAAGCGCGCTAGAGGGTGAGAGTGAGCGAGAGAGAGAGAGAGAGGGAGACAGAGAGAGCGAGAGAGACAGAGAGAGTTCCAATCAATTACGCAGTTTAAATAGCGTCAAGCCATGCCGTTTCCATAAAAACCAACAATTTTCGAACTATGACGGCTGGGAGATTGCTGTCTGGGACTACGTGTGGGCGCGAAAGGACCGGAAGCAGTCCTCGTGCAACCTGGCTTTTCCAAGTATGACTTTTACAGTAATTTGGGCGTATTCTACAGGGAGTGCCAAACATACTTTGTTCGTATTTGGATGTCTTTTATCCGATCGCGACCAAAT